GGTCCAGATTCGCTGGGAGTCTGCTATTGATATACCTTCCATGATTCCTACCAGAGGGCAATCCAAGCCCAGTTTGTCCCAGACGTACTGGTGTATGTGGTTCAGGAAGAGCCAGGAGAGTGCATAAAGACTAGGCGATCCTGACAAGCCCCTCCTTAGGGCCAAGATTGTCCCAGGTGGCATATCCTTAGCCACAGGCCTGTCCCGTGTTCAGGCGTTGCAGGGGTCTACCCTGCTCTGCAGTCACCCGAATAGACTGGTCTCGGAGTCCTGTGTCACACGTGTGGTCACCAACACTGTATCATACCTTGTACTCCTAGCCAGCATATTACAGAGTGGGACCAAAGCCCACAGTGCTGCGGGCTCCCTGTTCCTGAGGTGAACCAGAGGCCTAAGAACATTGCAGCTGGCCACAGGTGGTGCTGGCTGAAGTAGCAGAGCAGTGAGCTGGTCCACGTGGCTTCCCCTGGCAGCCCCGCCAGTCTGGAGGCTCCATCTGCAGGCGGGTGTGGGAATGGGACTGCTGCGTCTGCCTGTGAAAGGTTTCTGGACCAGCACCAAGTTCCCGTGTTGTGCTGTTGCTGCTCGTGGTTGGCATAGTAGCGGTAAAAGCGTCCCCTTAGCCATCTAGGCTGATGCTAAGACATAGCTCACAAAGACTTGCATGGGCTCGGGGTGTACAGAGGCACACACCGGAGCTGGCAGTGATACTGACTGGCCTGCGAGGCTCTCCGACTGGAGTGTAGGTCTTTGCCTGGTCCCTGAGCAGCTCTAGAGCCCCATCTGTGAGCACTGATGGACCACCCAGAGTTGGGGGATAGGTGGCAGAGACAGTCCCTTGTCCAGCACAGCTGGCATGAAATTGGGTCAGACCTGAGTCTCATCGGGGTGCAGGAACCTGTGCAGCCTTGAGGTGTGGGTCAGCGTGCCAGGCCTACTAAGGGCCGAAGCTGACGTGAATGTCTTCATCACTCTCCAGCCACTGAGACACAGTACGCAGCACCCAGTCGTAAAGGAGGGCAGGTTTGTTTTGGCTCAGTTTCCAAGATCTCAGTCCATCATAGTTGGCCGGCTCCAAGGGCAGAGTAAAGCTCTGAAAAGCGGGGCAGAGGAAAGCTGCTCACGCCCCGAGGCCTGGAGGCAGAGAAGGGAATGGAGCTTAGCAGAGAAGTCTACCCTTCAAGCCCTGTACCGGGCCTCTAAGCAGCCCCTACCTCCTTACAGCGAGTCACTAGTACACTGATGGGGACAGAGCCCTGATCCAGTCACCTTCCAAGGACGTGACACTTCAGGGGACATCCCAGGTAACAAGGGCAGAACTCACGTCCTTCCTGGATGCTCTGTGGTCCTTAGCCATGAGTTCTGGCCTGTGTGCAGAACTCATATATGGTAGGTGTACACAAAACACAGGCAAATCATTGCACCAAAAAGCCGTTACGCTCTTGTCACTACTCAGAGTAGTTAAAATAGTCAACCTAGATGCCCCGCCACCCGGCAGGATAGATCTCCCCTGGTAGTGGAATTGCTGAATCATGTGAGATTTTGGTTTTTAGGTTTTTGAGGAATTTCCATATTTTCCATCCACATTGCTACCAGGAGTGTAGAAGAGGTTTTTTAAAAATTGTTTTTATAGTTTGAATTTTAGCTATTTCCGATCTTCATTTTCTTTTAAGTTCTGGCTTTTTTGAGGTGCTGAGTACACTGTTAGGTTGTTTACTTGAGATTTTTCTCCCTAGCCCAGGCTGAGGACCAAGACATTAACATGTGCTCTTTGGGGGACACCCTAGATCCAGGCTTGCAGCAGGACCTTTCCCTGGTCTTGAGCGAGGAGCTGGGCAATGCTGGAAACTGGGTTACGGGAGCTGCTGCAGCAGCAGCAGCTGAGGCCTTCCCTGCTCCCGGTGGGCAGGAGCAGGTGTGCGGCGACTTCCTTGTCGTCACAGGCAAGCATAGGCGTGGCCTGGGCTTGTGGTCCTGAAGCTGTGGGTGATGCGTGGGTGTCCTTTGCCCCTAAGGCCCAGAGCTGCTGGCAGTATCAGGAGTGGGGCCTAGCTGTGGGCCCCGAAGACAGGACGGCACCAGCTGGGGCTGTTGTAGAGACTGGAGCGTGGGGCGCCCGTGATGGGCGCTTTCTCGGTGGGTGGTGATCACCGCTAGACCAGCCGACTCCCCAGACTGATGTTAAGCCTGCCCAGGATTATGGGATTTGCCTGCAGTGAGGACTCTGGTCACTGCTGTGACAGCGGCGGATGGGTCACCTCTCCCTGGCAACGTGCAGAGCCTCCCGGCCAGGGAGCCAGGCTGACTGTGCTTTGCTTTGACTCCAGGCTGGTTAGGGTTCTCCTCACCTGCTTGTTCATTGTCAGGAGTCTCCCTCGCCTGCCTGCACTTCTCAAAAGGGGCTTTCCCCGTCCCCTTGCCTCTTCCCTGGGACCCTTCTATTCAGCTGTCTTGGATCCTCCTCCTCAGGTACTTGTAGTTTATCATCCCATTCTTGGCGTTTGAGGTTTCTGCCAAGAAGCCTGCTGCTCAGCAGACTGGAACTTCATGTTACTTGTGCGTCTTCTCTCGCTGCTTTCAGGGTCCTCTCTTTGATCTTCAGCTGTTTGATTGTAGTAGGTCATGCGGTAGTCTTTGGATTGTATCTGATTGGGAACCGTTGACCTTCCTGTATGTGGATATTTGCATCTTCGGGTTTGGAAAGTCTTCTGCTGTTAGTTCCTCCGAGTGAAGCAGGCCCACCGGTAGTGCCTGCACAGGTGTCCCGTCGGGCAGCTGGTGCCGCTGGTGGTACAAACAAATGTAATCACTTTCTTTCATTGGTCTTTTTACTATTAAATTAATAAAAAGTCTGTAAATGGACCGAATCTAGTTAGTTGCTTGAATTTGAATAATTACTGCCTGAATAAAAATGTTAATACTATTCATACCATTTAAAAAATGATTATAATCAAATTTATTTTAATTTAAAAAATCTTTTATTTACTTGATACAGGGTCTCCCTGCACGGTGTGGACTCGTAGTGATCCTCCTGTCTCAGGCTCTGGAGCACTGGGATTAGAGGCATGCACCACCATGCCCCGTTTCAAGGCCAGCACGGCATGTGGTACCAGGGATCGAACTCAGGTCCTTGCACTTGCCAGGCAGATGCTTACGCCACTGAGCTATCTCCCCAGCCCCTTTTTATTATTTATTTTTATTTTATTTTTTGGTGCCAGGGATCAAACTCAGGACCTTACGCTTGCCAGGCAGGCACTGATGCCACTGAGCTATATCCCTAGCCCCCAGCCCCTTTTTAGTTTTTTTATTTTATTTATCTTTTTTTTTTTGGTAGAACCGGGGATTGAACTCAGACCCTTGCGCTTGCCAAGGAAGCACTTATTCTACTGAGCCATCTCCCTGGCCAATTTTGTTGTTTTTTTAATTATTATTTTTCCCAGCCCCTTTTTAAATTAAGAGAAATTTTACATTCATGAGTTTTATCAGTAATTAATTCTTTCAATTTTAACATGGTCTTAAAAGTACCCTATTGCTGGTGTATGTAATATGCACTTACAACTGCTGTACCACAAATTAGCTGTTACAACTTTTTATACCATTTTAATATTTTAAGAATTTAAAGAACTATATCCTGATAGCATCTGGCCTCCTAAAACAACACCTTTTCTTTGCATTGTTCTGATCAGAGGTCCTAAGAAGTGGCACAAGCTGCACACAGAACAGTCCCGTGTGTACCACTGGTGGTGGTTCAAGCTGGCAGCAGAACTCAGAGCGGAGCCTCCAGGCAGTGGGCTGCACCGTGGACGTTTACCTCCTTGTCACTCTCTGTTCTTGAATGCTACTGGCTAGAACATTTGCCCTCTTGGCGCTCCTGTATGTTCTATAGTCTTCATTCCTTCCATTCTTTTTTCTCCTTTAATTGTGTGTTTTCAGTAACCTGCCCCAAGTTCACAGATTGTTCTGGTCATTGGGTTCGGTTTTTTTTTTTTTTAAATGTATTTAGTACAGGGTCTACAGGTTGTCACCATGCTCAGTCTTAGTCCCCTCTCACCATGGCCCAGGGGCGGGGCTGGTCATCAAATTCTGTTGTTGATACACTGTTGCATTTTATGATTTAGTTTGCTGTATTTTTCTTCTCTGGAGTTTCTGATTGTTTTCAGTTTCTCTGTCAATTTGTCTTGAGTCCTATTCTGCCGCCTCACTCTGCCCTCTTGTGTGTTGGGCTCAGCAGCACAGAGCTTGCCTGGCAAGTGCAAGGTCTTGAGTTTAGTTTCTGGTAAACTGTGCTCACAGCCGTCCAGTGGCCTCCATCTGGCATCAGCAGCTACTCCTTCTTTTTTCTTTTTCATTTTATGTATTTAATGGGGTCTCAGTCAATATACAGCTCAGACTCGTAGTGATCCTCCTGTTTTCAGCCTCCCCAGTGCTGGGATTATAGGCGTGCACCACTTGGCTCAGCATGCCCTAGGGGTGAATCCTGGTCCCTGCGCTTGCCAAAGCAGGCGCAGGACCCGCCGAGCCATCTCGCTGGCCCTACTCCCTTCTGCGTAGCACTACCTCGTCTGTTCTTCCACCTCTCGGATCATGGCGTCCATACACGCCTGCTTTCTTTCTGCTTTCCCCTCTGGCCTTTCCTGGGCTTCCCGGTCGTGCTTCCACTTCCAAGTCTCAGCTCATGTGGCTGCTGCCCGAGATGCTCCCCCATGGCTGCGGTCTTCCCAGAGGGCTTTCCCACCTCCACTCTCGGTGCCGTCGTTCCTGTGTGTGTGTTTTACTCTGTCTGTGGGGAGTTTCTCACTGAGCGCACTGCTTGGAACTTTTTTCTCCCACTGCTAAGAAAAGCAGGGACTTTGCCTTCTCTGTCAGCATCTCTGTAACAGTCAACAGTGCCTCCCAGGTGCTTGACAGGTACTTGTTTCAGAAAGGGTACCTGGTGGCAAAGATGATGTGTGCCTGCAGGGACTCGGCTGTCTGTTGTTGATGTTGTGCTCTTTATCTAGAGACCCGGAAATATGGCGTCTGGCCTGCTTGAAAGTGTGGGGCAGAAGCTGCGTTAAACTGGTTCCGTACTCATCCTGGAGAGAGATGTTCTTAGGGCGGCCCCGTGTTCGGTTTGATGGTAAGTTGGACTCTAGCACTCAGGCGAAACTGTGCTCTACGAGTTTCCTGTGATTGACCTAAGAACTGTGAGCTGCTTTAAAGGAACATGTCATAAAGATAAAGCCAGACATGTGTTGCATGATTGTCAACTTTTTATTCCAAAGGAAATTATTTTATTGGTATATTTTAGATATATATAATGATCACATTCATCCAAGGGAATTTGTACCTGTATGTGGTATAGCCTGTTTCTTATTTTTCCCATTCCCCCTGCCTTCATGATAGTAACTTTTAAATTATATTTTCTTAATTTTTATAGGAGTGTATATCAGTAAAACCACATATATTCGTCAAGGGGAACAGTCCCTCGATGGTTTCTACCGAGCCTGGCACCAAGTGGAATATTACAGGTACAGCTGGAGTAGACTGAGTGGGAGTTCCCTCTCTCCAAGCACTAGCTCTTCAGTCCGCTGCTTTGGCTGTGTCCACAAAACGACCTCGGTATTTTTCTCCAATGTTGTGGCTTAGGAAATTACGTAAAGCCCAGAAGGCTAATAAAGCCCTATTTTCTGTAAGCCTGTAAATTCTATTTCAGAGCTCTCCTTTTGTTACGGGTAGGTCCACTTGACTTTTAGACTAGCTATGCCTGCTTGCAGCCTTGGTGTTCGCTGAACAGTACGGCAGCCCCCAGCCTCTGAACGTGCACACCTTCACGGGTGCCGCGTGACACCTTGTCAGATTGTGGAGTGCCGGGCTGCCCAAGCCTGTCCTGTATGGAGCCCTTTCATAGGTTGGTGACTCCCTGTACTGTCACTGAGAAAGATTAATACTGTGTGTTGATTATGGATCTCCCTGGTCTCCCTTGACGTGAATTAGTGTTTTAGGGACGCTTAGGACTTTAGTAAGTGTGCCGCATCTAACTTTCATGTTATGTAAGTAAAAAGTTCCTGCTGAGGGCTAATAATAAAATGTCTTTAGTACCTTGTTGCTAGGCTAAAGATTGTGGTTGTGGTTGTTTGGCCGATGCTGTTTCAGTTCCGTGTCACAACCCCAAGTAGGCGTGGTGGCTGAAAAGTAAGGGAGGGTTTTATCTCTCACGCGTGTGCGGGGTGTTGTGGTGTCTCCCTGTCACACAGGTACATTCGATTTTTCCCCGACGGCTCCGTGATGATGCTGACAACCCCGGAGGAGCCTCAGGCCATTGTTCCCCGCCTGAGAACCCGGAGCACCAGGTAGCTCGTGTGCAGCTTTCTGTCCAGTCCCCATTGCCAGCGAACTCCGCACCTGGTCGTAGCTTCCCTGCTTCATAGCTTTCTGGGTCATTTAAATAAGTATAATAACTGAGTAGTACATTTAGATTTAAAATGTATTTACTTTTCAGAACCGATGCAATTCTGCTGGGTCATTACCGCTTGTCACAAGATACAGACAATCAGACCAAAGTATTTGCTGTAATAACGAAGAAGAAAGAAGAAGTGAGTATAAGGGATGTGACAGTCTCATTTCAGCAGTGTGCTCGCTCAGACGCTTGCAATTAGAATGAAGTTCTATTTCATTATTGTGTGTATCTCTGAAAAAAGCTTGGGTTTTTAAGATGTTCTTTTTTGTTGGATCAGGACATTTTTCTCCAGATAGTTTCCTCTTTTACACATAACAGGTAAGACCAAAGGCTGGCGAGATAGCCCGGCAGACTAAGTGCCTGCTCAGGCAAGTGCAGGGCCCAGGGTTTGGTCCCCGGCACCTCGCTGAGAGGGACCAAGTCCAGGCGTGGAGGTGCACAGCTGCGACCCCTGCTCAAGGGGAGGCTGGAAACAGGAGGGTCACTGAGTCTGAGTTGTCTGTTGAGACCCTGTGCCACATACATTAAAAAAGGAGAAGTTAGACCAAAATCTCCCTTGAGATGAGTAGGAAAATCATACCTACGTATATTTTTGGTTCTCATTTTCAAGGTTTTTTCTTCCTAAAGTGTGGGTCAGTTTTTTAGAGTTTCAATTTTTAATTGAAATAAGTTTGCTTTTTTCCTGTTCTTGCCAAAAGACATGGGAGAGGGGCAAGCGAACTTGATTACTGATACTTATTGTGTTCTAAATTCCCTAAACAAGTTTACGCTCTAGTTTTTACAGAATTTCTCTGTGTGCATTTTTAAAATCCTGATTTAAAAATGTATGTACCAGGAAGTCAGTTGTGGAGGAGACAGAGTAAGCGTTAGCCTGTTGCCTTAGGAGTAGTAGAGTTTCAAAGACGTTCCCATCTGCGCCCCCCTCTGTTCTCTGGCATTGTGAGGGCAGGGCTTTGTCCTGCTCCCGGCACCTGTGCCCACCTCCGCTGGCTCCCCGCCTTCCTGCGCTGGGCTCCGCGTGGAGCAGCAGGAGGAGGGATGCAGGGGCCGCGGTGGCTGTGGCCACGCGTGTCCTGAGGCCATGCCTGAGAGTCGGGAGCCCTGCTTGCTCGTGTCTGGTAGCAGTGTTGGGGTCCATGCAGACCTGGCTGCTTCTGTAAGGAAAGGCTTGTGTCACTTACAGTTTTGTGATTTTAGCAGCAGTATTTGCAAGAACTAAATCTTTTTCTGCGGTGTCCGTCAGTGTATCACTTTCTTCCTCAAAGATTTCCCAGGTGTTCACTTGTAGAAAGAGATACCGCTGCTGCTGCTGCTGCTGCTGCGTAACTTTGGTGCACTTGTTCGACATCCCTAGAGCTTCGATGTTTGTTGCCATTTTATAGAAATAGGCGCTGTTTCACATGGAGTTCTGGGGAGATGGAGAGAAACGCGGCCTTCTTTGAGTGCTTACAACTAGAGCCTTTTCATGGGAGGTTCAAGATAATCGCTTCCTGCTCACAGACGTTATGTTACTTTTGGTGTGACTTGTACCTCAGTGCTCCTTGGCGTACGTAATGCAAGTGTCACGATGACTCTCCCGTACCCTTTCCTTTGCAGAAACCACTTGATTATAAATACAGATACTTCCGTCGGGTCCCTGTGCAGGAGGCGGAGCACAGCTTCCATGTGGGACTGCAGCTGTGCTCCAGTGGCCACCAGAGGTTCAACAAGCTCACCTGGGTGCACCATTCTTGTCACATCACTTACAAGTAGGCACACCGCTGGGGCACCGCCGCGGCCAGCAGAGGCGACCTCTGGCCCTTGTGCAGTTGGAAAAGGCTCTGTTTCTGAATTCCCAGGGTCACCATGTCACAAAGGGGATGGCACAGCCTCATAGGGTGGCCTCGTCCACACGATTGCGGCGTCTCATGACCACACTGACCTCTCACGGGCTGGGCAGTCTTGAGAGTGCCTTGCTTCTGCTGGCCTGCCTTCTACGAGGAAGAGCCGAGAAAGGCTGAGGCAGCATGGGTTGTCCCTTTATCCCCTGCCCTGCCTGTGATTTGGCTGTTAATTAACAAATGATCCATTTTAACCCGAGCTTTTAATTGCCTGTAGCCTTTGATTTAGAAATTATCTTAGGAATATGCTTAAGGAACGTAAACAGAAATGCACTACTTCAGTAGCTAAATATTGTACGAGTCAGTCTCGCAGAGGGGACGTAGTAAGTAGTTGTGTAGGCAGGCAGTGGGAGAGCATGTAGGCATAAGCCTGGGTGTGTATAGGACGCACATGTGTCAACGTGCCGTGGCAGGCATGGGCCCCAGCCTGGCCTGGGCTCCGCAGGGAGGGTGGCCTGGGGCACAGCACTCCTGTGGTGGTTCGCGTGCCCTCCATTGTGCTGTTACTGAGAAGTACCCGAGGAGAGTGCGGGATAAAAGGTGCGTGCTGAAAGTAGGCTGCCCTCGGCAGTCGCAGACTTGGGAGGGGCTGAGGCTCCCTTGTGCTTGTGCTTTCTGCAGGTCAACTGGCGAGACAGCGGTCAGTGCCTTTGAGATTGACAAGATGTACACCCCCTTGTTCTTCGCCAGAGTGAGGAGCTACACCGCGTTCTCGGAAAGGCCGCTGTAGCCCAGCCCCCCACCGTTGCATGAGTAAAAGCATAGAGCGCAGAAGAGCACCTGACTTATAAATACGGATATATATATATGGGATTGGGATTTATTTTAAATGGTTGGAATTCTTTTAAAAAGAATATAAATTATTTTTTTTATTTAAAGAGATAGATGGTTGTTGGGGTGTTTTGTTTTAAAACTATAAGTTTAAGTACATTTATGTTGTGAAAAACCTTTAAATGAGGCGTCAGGGCAGGCGTAGTGGTACACACCTATAATCTCAGCACTCGGAAGGCTGAGGCAGGAGGATCACTGGCCGGCCAGGACTGCGTTGTGATTTCAGGGCCAGTCTGCACTACTTAGCAAGACCCTGTCTCAAGGCCCCCTCAGCAAGGAGGCGTAGACTCATGTTCGTTTTCAAGCAGAGTTGTGAGCAGCTTTCTGTCACGTAAGCCATCTTCTGCCTGAGAACCAGTGCTTGGGCTCAGGAGGGCGGGCGCCCTGCAGAAGGGCGCTATTTCTCGCATGGCAGTGTCTGCACTAAAGGCTTAAAACAGGAAACCGTTCTGGATTTGTTTGAAACTGTAACCAATAAAGACCATAAATAAATGTTTCTTTCAAGGAAATACCGGGTTGCCTTTTGAGACGGCTTCTTCCACGTCCCGGGAAAGCCGGTGGGGGGCTGCGAGTCACTGCCTCAGTTCGCCAGGCTCTGGTTTTGTCCAGGTGGTAGGCGGCTAGAGCCCAGCCTTGTCCAGGTGCCTCCCGGATGTGGAAGTGGGAAGGAGGGCTCCCTCAGGCGTGGGTGGCCTCGGCACTTCGTCGCTGTTCCTCAGCGCATGAGGATTATGGAGGCTCTTGTTGGGAAAAGCAGCGTGGCAAAAAGCCAGCCGCCTCGCTGTGTTACCGTGTTCTGAGGGGAGCCCCGCTTCCCTGGTAGCCGCGCACTTCGGGTTTATTCCACAGTTGGTCTCTGGTACCCCTCCTCTATCTTCAGATTCAGTTCTGATGATTGAAATGCAAGTCAACACTCATACTACCGAAGTCAGCGCCTACAGCACGGTTGCCTCCTGTTCATACAGTAAGAGATGCTTCGCAAGTTCTCACAATTCAGTGCAAATGGGCGTTTTTAAAACCCAACTCCTTGAGATGGGCCATAGCTCCGTGTTACAGGCTGTGTGGCTTCACTCCCCAGCCAGCACGTGGCTCATGTATTAAAGATGAAAGCCACATGTCCAGTGTGTACAGAAGGAAGAGAACTTCTGAGCCAGGCTGGTGGCGTGTGCCTGTAACTCCAGCGCTCAGAAGGCTGAGGCAGGAAGATGGCTGCAAGTCCAAGGCCATCGTGGGTTACATTTGGAGATCCTGTCTCCAGAAGACATTTATGTATTGAGTTTTTTGCAAAAATCTGAAAAATACGCTACTTACCTAAAAAGTCTTCATGGTATGACTTTTTGGTAAATTAGAACATTATTTGAGTGTAGTCAGATACAACTGTAAAAAATCCAAAAGCAAGCACTATTTCAGGAGCGTGGCCCTCATCTCTGCGTTGGGGAACCTGTTAAGAGATGAGTGTATACCAAGTTCAGACTCAGGAAGTCCTTGGCAGGCACTGAAGCAATTTTAGGTTGTAGCTCTGAGTTGGAACAGTGATTTCTGTTTTACGGGTTAGACTTCCTGTGCATTTAAAATACTGCTCTTTTGCTTTCTGTTACAGTACCAGGGATTAAACCCAGACTGAGCTGAACGCCCACTTTTTTGTGCGTAAGACAAGATTTTATCAATTAAGTTGCTCATTCTGGGCTTGAATTCTTTAGTCTTCCTGCCTCAGCCTCCTAGTGCAGTGGTTACAGGCGTGTACCACTACACCCAGCTTAAAATAATTCTTCTAAAAGCACAGACCTAATATAAATTTATTGTAGGAAAAGTAGCTACTCAAAAGAATAAAAAGATAAAATCATCTTAAGACAGCCAGAATTTCAGCTGCAGAGCCTGTTCCTGCGCATCTTGCGCTGTGCTGTGTTTAGACAGAAACACCGTGTGAGGCTCACTGGTGTGAGCCTTCCTGAGCTTTGGCAGCAGCTCTCTGGAATTTGGTTTCGTGTTCCCCAGGGGGATCCCACGCTCAGGAATCCCCTGCAGGCGTGGCTCCGTCTCACCGGCACTGTGTGGCCCTTCCAGTACTGTAGTGAGGGCATGGAGGTGCTGCTGGGGTCCATGGACGCAGGTGTGGACTGAGACTCCCATCGAGGGCAGGGCAGCTGCCTCATGCTTGATCCAGGCTCTGAAGCAATAGCGCTTAGTGCTGCAGTGCTTGGTTTTAATTCTTTTTTTCTGTGCATTTATTAAAAATGGTGTGATGGGCTCAGTGTGGCCCATGGTGGCCGCATGCTGGGCGTGCACAGGGTCACGATTCAGTCTGTGGCATGTGGGAAAGACACTGCGTAAGGCCTCCCCTTCACGATGCCATGTACTTCATTTCATTAACATCTTTAATGGCTTCATAACCCAACACTTGAGATACTTTGGTTTTATAACTTAATGCTCATACATGCGTTTCTGGATGAATGTTACTGTTTCTACAGCTTCACACAGGTCTTTGCCTCCTTAGCATGTTTCCAAGTAGAATTGCTGAATTGGGGTGAATGTTTTTAAATATTTTAACAATTTTTGGTAAATACTAACACGTGAGAAAACTGGACAGGAGATGAGCAGACCTGTAAATCACCTGTCACCTCACCAGCAGAGTCCTGTCACCTCTTGCTGTTGGCTGTCAGCCCCTTCACATGAGTATGCTGTTTTTCACTCACACAGAGAAATACTGGATCTGCAGGCTGGCCCACCATTGCCCAGCGGCAGTGCTGAGTGTCAGCCACAGTGTCACCAAGCGTGCAGCTGTGACTTGTGGGCTCAGGCCACACAGCCTAATGGGGCTCGGAGCTGGGACAGTGCTGGAGTGCTAACCACACAGCCACTTGTCCCCAGGTGTGACTTCAGCGCCAGTTGTATGTGTGAACAAAGCTGACACGTCTCTCTGTGCCCCTCCTGAGTCCCCCTAGCGTGGCAACATGCAGTTGAGGAGCTTCAGCCGCTGAGCAGGGCAGGAGAGGCGCTAATATGGGGCAGCTGCCGTGGGGCTGACAGGGACCAGAAGCTGGATCGAAGCGCCAGGCCCACAACTGATTTAAGTGAATTGAACTCTGTGTCAGTGATGAGCAAGAGGACATAAGAGCTACTACCACCAAAGAGTGCACGACAGTAGGTCCCGTGTCAGCTGCTTCAGACAGTGTCTGGATAAAACAGTTGCTGGGAGGTGTGTTGTTCCTGTTCTAGAAAGACTTTGGGGCCTCAGCCGGCTGCAGGGGAAGCTAAAAAAAGGCAAACAGACTCAACTGAGCCCTAGCTGAAGATTGGCATGAGGGGAGACAGCAAGACCCCAAAGGAGGGTTCCCTGCAGCTCGCCGGGTTCACAGTGCCGAGCTGGCCTCTGCTGGGCGGGAAGGAGGCTTTCCTCTCTGAAGACGGCCCCTCTCCATCCCTCTAGCAGAGCTGCACATGCTGACACTAGGGAGTCTGCACAAACAGGGCCACCCACCCTGTCAGTCCACTCGAGCACATCAGCAGCTCAGCGCTCCTTCCCAGATGAGAAACAAATCAGGAAATACACAAATGAGACATGAAGGGAATTTTAAATGCAGGTAGCATAAGAGGTACATACAGAGTTACATCTTCAGGGAGAGAAAGAAATGAGACTATAAAAAGATACGAGATACCGCAGTATTACAAACATGATAGCTAAGTTGATTTTAAATTTCAAATGAAATAAGATACTAAAGCTGAAAGTTGCCTTGGGAGTCATTTACAGATATTTGTTTAGCAATCTAGTTTATCAACCGTGGATTTGGGACTGTGGTGCTTGATAGTTTGTGTCAACCTGAGCGCTCAGAGATTCCCTGCCCTAGGGTGGGGCGGGCCTGCCCTGGGGTGACTCAGCACTTACAGGATACATAAAGGCTGAGGAGGGATTCTGCAGCCACTTCCGTGGGAGATCAGCATGGAAGGAAGCGAGAGAGGTTTGATAGACACCACAGCTGCTGCTCCTTCCTCTGCTCCTTCCTGTCTTCTGCCATGCACTGCTGCCTTCTGCCTTCTGCTACTCTGCCCTGGGACCAGGCACTGAAACTTCCACTACCTGTGAGCTAAATAAACCTTTCTTAATTTTGGATGTTGGGTATTTGTCCCAGCAGCAAGTAAAAAGTAACCAAGACAGTTTGGTGCCAGAGAAGTGGGGTCGTTGCTGTGGCTAAACCTGACCATGTGGATTACCAGCTTTTGGGAATGGTTTACGGGAGGAGATATGAAAAGTTTGGAGATACTGCCTACAAGAGAAGCGTTGGAACAGCTTTAGCTGCTCTGTGTGGGAGATGCTAGTCAGAGCTCAGAAGACCAGAAGGCTGATAGAAAGCCTGCCTGTGAAGATTAGACGGGGGAGGTTTCTTCTGGGAAGAAGGACTGCATTGGTTGTTGGACTGCAGATGATGTGTGTTATGGCTTGGCAGAAAGTTTGTCTGAATTTTGTTCATGTCCAGAGACTTTGCCTGAGACTGAGATTAAGCACGGCAGACTGATTAATCTGGCAAAAGAAATGTCAAAGCAGCCAAATAATTGAGCAGTGGCATGGCTAGTGTTGGGGCTTTTAGTCAGATTTATGTTGAGAATCAAGAGCAAAGAGCCCAGCAGGATTATTTAAAATGTGAGTTTGGCCAGAAAGGAAGCTCCAATAAGACTGTGGACTGCAAAAATAGAGCTGAGAGGGTCTTTATCACTGAGAAGGAACAAGAGAATGGAAAGGCTGGCCTGAGGGCATCACAGGAGGTGGCATCAGAACTGCAAGGTGAGGGACTTAGCTTTGAGGAGAAAGCTGCGGAGCTCCATGTTTCAGAATGGCAGCAGCGGCCACACCAGGCTCTAGAAGGGCACCGACATAGAGAATTTGTTCCTCAGAATCAGGGTCAGAGTGCTCAGTGATCCAGGCCCTCGACCCCTACGGCCAAGAGCAAAGGAAGCCTGGCTACTGCTCCAGCTGGCAGCAGACCCTGGTGTCACCACGTGGGGCTGGTTATAGGCGCACACAGAGTGCAGGAGTTCTGAGGCTAAGAAGGCTTCCACCTGGATTTTAGAAGAAGGCCTGGGAGGCCAGGCAGTGTGCCCCTGACAGAGCAGCGTGTGAAGCTGTGAGTGGGAAGCCTGTTCCGTGGAAACCCCAGAAGTCTGGAAAAGCCAGGAGCATGGATCATCTAAGGGAAACTGCAAGGAGGGAGCAAAGCTGGCCTAAGATGCCACGGGAGCTACCACCAAGAGTGCCACGCGCCACTCTGCCTTGGAGCCAGCTGAGTATGGACTGAAACCCCCATTAGCTGTGAGATAAACAAACCTTTCCTTTCTTAATTTTGGGTGTCAGGTATTTTGTCCCAGCAACAAGAGAAAAGTAACTGAGAAAGGGCCTGGGCTCTTGCACAGTGCAGTTCCACGCATCTCGGCGGAGCCTCCGTGCCTTCTCCTGCAGTACGCCTTGCTCACGCAGTTGTGAAAGCCTGCCGACCGCCCTGTGCAGCACAG